GAACACAATGCAATTTAAGTCTTTATTGTTATGATGATGTTGCAATTAATGATTACAGCTGTATAACTGAACACAAGTGCTACACTTGTGCATGGTCACACACTTGTGTGTGTAACCCCTCAGACTATACCAGCATTGGCTGCAGCTGTTGAGATGTTTACTGTTGGAATACACTGAGTATATTTTCTTCTTGGTTGCTGTATAAGCACAGCACAGATCTTCACAAACTGTTTACAACCTATTTAACTGGAGATGAACATCCAGCTAGCTACTTGTCAATGAGCATCCAAACTTTTGTTTAATATGCAAATTTGACACTCCAAGTGGGGCTTTGTATTACTGTTTAATTTAATGACCTTTCGCTAAAACAATACTCTTGAAAAGCCTCATTTTAGAAATCAGACTGTCCAGATTCTTTTGAATGGTTTTTGCCTATCTGAGGGTTTAGGTGAAGTTATGATGATGATGCTGGAAATTCTTCCTGACCTCTGATTTTAAGAAACCATAAAATCCTCACCATCTTAAAGAAAACAAAAGCTGTATTGAGTCATGACCATTGCATTTAATTAAATGGAGAGAGGAAGGCAGTGTAGGGACTCCAAGAAAACAAACAGAACAAACAAAGAAACCCACAACCTGGAATTGTGAGTGTGGGGACAGACAAAAGAAAAGTGAGAAATGTTAAGACACAGAGAGGTAGAAGAGAAATGCTATTAACCCGGCAAAGAGAGGAGAAGGTGTTGGGAATAGAGAAGGAGGCACTGAAGAATGAGTTGGGAAGGAGTAGATTGCAAGGAGAGAGAAGGATTATAGGCAAAAGGCAGAGACAGCTCAAGTTCTCTTCCTCATCTCCTCTCTCGCAGCCCCTACATCCTGCAGAAGGAACAGAGCTGGCATAAGGGCAATGTGGAGAAAGGTGAAGCTCTCAATGAAGCTCCTCCTGAAGCAAAGCTCCTGCTAACCCAGACCATTTTTGGTTTGCAGGAGAGACATACATCTTCTCTGTCCTGCAGCCTCTGTGCCTGGGGCACACTGTCTGCTGAGCGTAGAATGCTGGGGGCAAAGGAGCTGGCACGGGGTGGTTGGCAGGAGCATATCACAGAGGGATACCAGGCTCAGAGCACCACGCACCTTCAGGATGAAAATGCATAGTGGAGTAAATCCAGCAACCAGAAATACTGACCAGTCAATTGAATGAGTGCTGAGGTTTGCTGCAGACTCCTCAGTAAATCCAGTTGTTCTTTTTGGCAATGCTTCAGACCCCATTCACATGCTGATTGCACGACCAGATACACAACAGGCTTTGTCCCTGGGGAGTCCTGAACTAGGGATGCTCTCCACCCTGTTCTCACAGGTGCATAGACTATTGCTTAGAAAGTCTGCTTAAACTACTCCCCCATTCCTGCTCTCCCTGAGAGTATCAGACTACCCCAAGATTGCTACATATCCACTCTCCTCTAAGATATGAGATACACAGCCACACTAACAGATCTCCCCTCTTCTGTAAACAAAAGTAAATCTTCAAACTGGAAGTTAAATACAGGATTGATATTGGCTGCCCAAAGTAACATTAGAAATTTATCCCAAACCCAGAATTTGGATGTAGGTATGTCAATCTCGTAACTACTGCTTTATCTTCATTAAGAGATGAGTATCAGTGAAGTTTTTAATAGTTGACTGAAACTACTTAACCCTGCATGGCAGAGTTAAGATACCTAAAGCAGACAAATAATGGGACATGGAAACCAAGGTGCCAAACCTCAAATGAGGACACATGGTGTCTCTTTTTTCATCTGCTCATGCCTGCTTCATAAAGGTAACCTCTCCTGCCCAGCTGCTCTGCCACCACACCATCCCCACCACTGCTGGGGAACTGAGTCCCTCCACTGAAGGTGTTCCTCAGTCCCAGCTCCAGCTCATCACTGATCTGGACTGGTTTCAAGGCAGTCTTTGAAAGTTAATGTGAAGGGAAGGCTGGCTGTGTCACCCCAGCCAGGATTGAATGCTGCTTTCATCATAAATCACAAATCCAATTTTTTCTGTTGACAAAATGAGCAATATATTTCCAGCAAAACTACAGACCTACTGGGGCATCTGTATGAACACAAAACATTGAATCCCATTTCTAAAATGGCAGAAATAAATCCCATGCAGCACGACATGAGGGAGGTAAAAATATGAAATGTGACTGTAAAATTAGTGTAGGTTAACTTGTGATCACAAAAATTAACACAGAATGTTCCTGGTGTCAGTCCATGGCACAGCTAAAATGGTTTTGCTGCCTTAATTTCATACTATGTCTGAAACGTATCTGGAATTTCAAGTTCCCAATTCCTCAGCTGATAGAAATGGCTTCTGATATGATTTTCACATTCTGGGAACAGATTTTTACCCTTAAATTAGCCATGTGTACTCTCAGACTTAACATTTTGTCTTGAAATAAAACAGCAGTGATAATTGTTAATTTAAGACCCCACACAATGCAAATTTATGTTGTGGAGCCAAATATGCTGATTGGAAACAGATGAACATGAAATGCCTTTTACTGAGCAGAATTAAAACTAAGTATTAGTGAAGTGTGTTGCTAATTTGACACATGACACATCAGACATTGATTACTGACTTTTTTCTTTGCTACAATGAAATACCAGAAGTACCCTATTAATCTTTCAAAAATTTTACAACCGCTGTTACAAAGTGCCACATGTTCAGCTCCTGTCCCCTCCTGTCCTCATGGGTTTCAGCTGGTTTACTAGTACTCACCAAGGATGAAGCTACTCTTTCCATTATTCCTGACACCTTTTGTTTTGGAGCTTTAGTGACAAAAATAAAGATATTAAGCTTTAATGCTCATCTTCTGCTCAGACCCTGAGATCAAGATCAGAGTGTTGTGGATGGACTTGTGCCTGAGGACTGGAAAAAAGCACTCCAGCTTTCAAAATGGGCAGGAAAGGGGATACAGGGAACTACCAGCCAGCCAGCCTCACCTTCCTCCCTGGAAAGGTGATGGAGTGGCTCATTCTGGAGGCCATCTCTATCCACATGGATGACAATAAGGTGCTCAGGAGTACCAGTTTATTACCTCACTAGTATCAGTTCAATACCTCACTAAAAGCAAATCATGCTTGACCAACTTGATTGCCTCCTGTGATGAAACAACTACTGGGATGCATGGAGGGAAAGCATTGGATATTGCCTACCTTGACTTCAGTATTCCATACGGCTTTTAACCCTGTCTCTCACAAAATCCTCATAGGCAAACTCAGGAAATGTGGGCTGCATGCCTAGACATGAGGTGGATTTAGAAGAGGTTAAACAGCAGATCCCAAGGTCATAATCAGTGGCACAGGGTTTAGTCAGAGGCCTGTCTCTAGTGGTGTCCCCCAGAGTCCTATACTGGGCCCAGTACTGCTTAACTTGTTCATCAGTGGTTTGGATGAAAGGGCAGATGCCTCCTCAGCAAGTTCACTGATGACACCAAGCTGGGAGCAGTGGTCGATCCCGCAGAGGGCTGTGTGGGCCTCCAGAGGGACCTCGACAGTCTGGAGAGACGGGCAGAGAAGAATCTTCTGAAGTTTAACAAGGGCAAATGTAGAGTCCTGCACCTGGGGAGGAACAACTGCATGCACCAGCACAGGCTGGGCACTGACCTGCTGGAAAGCTGCTCTGCAGAGAAGGACCTGGGGGTGCTGGTGGACAACATCTGTCCATGAGCCAGCAGTGCCCTGGCGGCCAGGAAGACCAAAGGTGTCCTGGGCTGCATTAGGAAGGACATTGCCAGCAGGTTGAGGGAGGCGATTCTGCCCCTCTCCTTAGCCCTGGTGAGGCCACATCTGGAGTGCTGTGTCAGTTCTGAGCTCCTCAGCACCAGAGAGACATGGAGCTCCTGGAGCAGGTCCAGCAAAGGGCAATAAAGATGATTAAGGGACTGGAGCATCTCTCTCATGAGGAAAGACTGAGAGAATTGTGCCTGTTCAGCCTTGAGAAGAAATGACTGAGAGGGGACCTCATCAATGTCTATCAGTATCTGAAGGGAGGGTGCCAAGAGGATGGATCCAGGCTCTTCTCAGAGGTGCGAAGCAACTGAACAAGAGGCAACAGGCAGAATCTGATCCACAGCAAGTTCTACCTGAATATGAGGAAGAATACCAGCAGAACTTCTTTACCGAGCACTGGAACAGATTGTCAGAATGGATGTAGAGTCTTCCTCACTGGAGATATTCAAGAACTGTCTGGACAAAATTCTGTACCATGTACTTTAGGATGATGCTGCTTAAGCTTGGAGGTTGGATCAGATGACCCACTGTGGTCCCTTCCAACCTCACCCATTCCCTGATTCTGTGTGACTCAATATTTGGAAAGCACTAGTAATAACCAAATAAGTAGGAGAAAGCTCTGAAGTGCTGAGGATACCAGTACTTGTTTGCACTGAAGGTCTCTGTTACAAAAAGCTAACACAATCTACTGAATGGAAAAACAGTAACCAAAGTACAGGCTGGGAATAAAGGATGGTAAAAAGCCTGGAACTACTGGAATACTTCCAAAAAGAAGTCAGGTAAGTAACAGAAATAAATAGAAAGCTCTGGAGGACTAAGGCAAGAAGTGTTCACTTGCACTGGAGGTCTCCATTGTAAAAGCTAAAACAAATTTACTGAATGGAGTGAGTGTAACCAAAGTACAGGTTGGGAATAAAGGGTGAGAAAAAGCCTGGAACTACTGGAGTACTTCGAAAAAGGATTCTGCAGCACATACATAACTGCGTGACTGAGGCAAGCAAGAGAAGAGAAAGCCTCAATCTTTCTGAAATGGCATTCAACTATATACTTGCAACTATTGAATCTGCCAACCCAATGGACTAGTAAAGGTGGAGGAAGAGAAACTCATTATCACAACATACCTCCCAAGACAGCAGAGGAGGACATAGTAAAATCATTCTGGAATTTCTCTGCTTTTATCAACCCCCGGGAAAAAAAGAGGTGCATTTTAATTCAAAAAGGTACCTGTAAAAGCAGAATGCCAAACTCTTGTCTGCACTCCAAACAGGGGAATGTAATGCTCCAGAGGATTCTGAAAAAAAAAAAAAAAAAGACAAAACAAGAATATATGAAAAAGGCATTAAAAACCCCAAAACACAACAAAGCAGTAACACTGCAGTGTTATATGTCAGTGCTGAAGGTCATGGAAACAGGACACCAAGGCCAGTCCATGCCAGGAGAAGGGAGGAGAAGTGCAAGACAGCCACAGCAGCAACTGGGACTATTTCACATAGTCATTTATCATGAAAGGTGAGATAAATGATGACATCAACATGGCTGAAGCCTGTGAGCTGTGTAATAATAACAACTAATTAAAAAGTCATTAGGAAAGCCTTAGAACACAAGCTTGCACACAACGCAGTATCTGATGTATGAGATGAAATGCATCTGTGCTGGAGATCAATGAATAAATGCAAACAGGGTCAACATGCAATTTTTAATTCACTGATGAAGGACCAAAAAAAAATTTTGTGCCTTTTAAGTTCTTGTTATAGCAAAACAATCCCTTTTGTTGTGTTTTTGGCTATTTCCAAATAAAGAAGGGAGAAAATACTGCAAAGAAGAAACCACAACTCTGTTTCCATGATAAAAATTTAGCAGGTCATGGAATCAACGCCAGCTACTTTACAAGTAACTGAGGGAAAAATATCAATATGTAAATGTTAGTGTTATTTCAGTGCAGCTGCTGGTTGATTTTGACATGAAAATATGGAATCTGCAGTGATGATCTGTTTTCCCATACTCAAAGTCAAGGTCAAAGAGCAAAATATTTGTGTGCTCAAAAATTCCTTCCACACCTCCCTGGCTGGGAGGGATAACAGGATATGTCCCAAGCTAGCAACAAAAAAGCACAAAAATCCACTCTAATTTTTATATGTCTACATGTAAAAATTTTGGGGGTTTTTTTCAGTCTCTTTCCCTTTTCTAAAACATTTATTTTAGACAATGCTTTTTAAAACCATGGCAGTATTGTATTTAGAAAACACTACTCCTGTCTAGTCAATCAATACATCTTTCATTTCATATGCAACACCTTCTCCTTTTTCTCTACAAAATTATTACCTACTTTTTAGAGATTTAAACCAGTTACTACAGTCCACACAGAAAAAAAATTCCTAACCTTTGTATTTTGTGTCACCTGCTAAAAATGATTGTGAATATCTTCACAATAAATTGGCTGATAGAAAAGCACATAATTTTAAAACTTTGATAAAATTTTCCTGTAATTAAGCATTTGTGTATGCAATAGGTAAGGGAAAAATAAGTCAAGTGTATTTTTTAGGGAGGAAAACACCACTGCTGTTGGATGCAGCTTTCTACACATCTTTTTATGTGGACAAAAGGCAGTGATGGAGGAAGGGGGGAGCAGTTTTCCTCTCTGCTGTGAGGCTGGTGACATCCAGCAGAAGTGGAGAAATGCCAAGCTGAGGAAAACCCATTATCATAATGGCTTTTAAGAGAACTCCAGAACACAGTTACCACGTAAGTGCATGCACAAAGGAGTTCTTATCTTCCTGTACCAACAAGAATACACTTTTACTTTCTAAATGATGCAAGTATATAGACATAATGAATAACATACATGTGGCTTATTCCAATAGTAGTAATTCAAACAGACCCATTTATGATATGAATGTCAGTGTGAACTATATAGTGAAATACGTTGTTTAGTGAACACCAATGTACACTGTGTTAAGAATGTATAGCCTATTTTATCTTCTAAGTGTTTATAAAGAGGTCACAGTAATAAAAAGTGGAAGTATGAATACTGGAGTAGTTACTGTACAGCGAGTTACTAGAATCCTCAGGTAGGTGCCACAATAAACATAGTGCCCCAGGTATCAAGGATTTCCCAAGAGGGTCTCCATTAAATTGTGAAACCACCAGGAAAGCACAAAACACACGGGCTTCACTGAGCTTGGCTCTGGGCCCAGGACAGAAATGACTGAAGATATACATACAAAACTCAAACAGATAAATGTTCTGTGGAACTTTTAGCACATGACTGCTTTCATCATTCATGCCATGGAATAAAACCCCAACGATGCTATTTAGCATCTGCAACAGCAGTGTGCACTGACAAAACTGTCAATGGCTAAAGCTTATAGAGTAATGTGGAGGCAGACCAAGTTCTGAACTAGGTTACAGACTGTGTAAGTTCTTCAGTGTAACACACAATATTCTCATGCATGGAACTGTGAAGCAGCAGTGTGGACAACCCTCTGTTTGGACTCATGTCTCTGCCAGCAGGACAGCAAATCCTCAGACAGGCAGCAGTGCTAGGTGCGGGATGAACAGCCCAAGGCAGAACTATGTACTAATTGCCCTGTTTGAGCAGAGGAACTGCTCTGGTAATAGATGTCCAGTAGCACTTTATCAGTCCAAAATAGTGCCCTTCAGCAACACATTTCAGACAAATCTCTTCATCAACACAGCACCCTTAACACAGCTGAGAAGGGCCACATACACCATAGTGAGTATTTTTAATCACTAACATGTAACTGCAAGAAAAAGTGGAGAAAATGAAGAATACAGCACAAATTTCAGTAGAATTTATGAACAAGGACTTATCAGGATAGCTAAAAGCACCAGATCCTCCTTTCCCAATTGAATATACTGTTTAGCATAAGACGTCTCACATGAATATTTTTCAAGTTCCAATTACTCAAGCAAGTGCAATTCTTATGTGTTTAGCAAGCACCATGACAGACCCCTGTCACCAAATTTTGGTTACTCCAGCTACCTCCCTGAATGGCCCAGTTCTAATGCAGAAGAAACCAGAAAGGCCACCAACAAGTTACATGCACTTGTTTTCCACCATGAAAATATGAAAAGAAGATTATAAATAGACAAGAAATAAACAGACTACTTGTCTCACTCCTTCCATGGAATTTGCAGTAGAATACCAGGCCAGCCCTGCATTGGAAGAACCAACCTACTTAGGATAAACCAATACCAAATGCTTGGCCTCCAAGAAGGAAACTTATGTCTGACAGCTACTATAGTTATTTCTTAGGCACTTTTTAATTCTTTCTTACATTCTTCCTGGATCTAGAGGCCCAGGATTTCATTTCTCCTGCAGTTGTATGACTCAGATGAAAATACAGCAGTGTATGTTGCTGTACAGCTTTACACTGGATGCACAGTAGAATTTGAAAATGTTTGTTAGCATTGAGAGCTCCTGGTGATGGACAGACCTGCTTCCTGCAGGCAGGCACAGTGGGGCACAGCTGCCATGGTGTGCAGTCACCATTCCATTCCTTCCTCACTGACAATCTTTCTTAGGTATTTTTTTTTTCCTTTAAGTAACTTAACAAGGCCTGTACAAGCAGATTTGTATCATAGAATGAGAGAAGGGTTTGGGTTCGAAGGGACCTTAAAGCTCATTTGGTTCCATCATCCCCACCATGGCCAGGGACACCTTCCACTAGACCAAGTTGGCTCAAAGCCCCATCCAGCCTGGTTCACTCCAACAGGAAAGACTGATCTCTGCAATACTTTCTCCTAGGAACATTAGGTGCCCCCAGAGTACTTATCTTAAAAATCAATAATAGATATGCTGATGTAGTGCCAAACACACAGTAGCTGAGATATGTGCAGAGAACTGATTGGTCACCAGCTCCTACTAGACTGGTGTAAATGGCCTCAACATGAATATTTAAAGCAACTGTCCTTATCTTTTCAGTTCTTTTTGGACAGAAAAAAAAAGAGACAGAAAAGAGAGAGAAAGAAAAACCAAAAAATTCTCTAAACCATCTGAGATCCAGAACAACATAAGGACAGTTAATATCAGACTTCTCAAAATCACAAAAAAATCACACACAAAGTGAGTGGCACACACAAAGCTGGTTTCCCTTCTGTGCTTCAGCTGAGATTTAATCTCCTCTGTAAGGGCAGAAAATGCCTCACCTAGACAGGGAGTACCCAAACCAAGATAAGAAATTCTGGGCTAGACTCAGACTGCAAAAAAATATTAACTAATTTAATTATATGGGTGTGAGCTACCACTTTCACCTCTGAACTGATATTTTTCTGTAGCTTTTTTCTCTATAAAATCCCACACTCATTCAAATTTCTTTCCAAAAAAAATCCTCCTGGAATGCCTAGAAAAACAGTCCACAATGGCTGGGCAGCTGGCATACTGCAATGGCTCATTATCCTGATTTCAACAGGAAATCTCTTCGCTGCTGAAATCAAAGTCAAGTGGAAAATTTTAACAACCAATATATGAGGAGATCTGTGCATCTAAAGTTAAGTTTGTAACTAGATAAATTCTAATCATTTTTACCATTTTTTAGAAATTTTTTTGACCATTTGGTAAGCAAAAGGATATGCAAATTGTTCAGGCAGGAGTGATGCTCCTTTTCAAGACAGACTGACTGACCTGGGGACAGCCACACCCAGGCTGGGTACTGGCAGAACAGAAACTTTCCTGTCACTTGTGGTGCCAGGCCACTCCAGTAATACAACACATTTAGAAGACTCATTAAATAATCTCTTCACAATGAGGTTGAGACCTTTAGAACTAAGAGTCATTGAAACATGAACATAACATACAGAACTACAGAAAACTCCACCTTGTTCCACCAGTGATCCCTTTAGCTGGTCCCTTGCCAGTTCAATATTCTTGCAATAAAAAGCACCCATGATATGAGAAAAACAAAACTCAGAGTCCTGTGACTGGCATTGCATATTCAAAATTGAAAAACCCCAAAGGAAGGAATGACCAAAGTGTTTGCCACGTAAGCAAGAGCCCAGTGAGGATTTTAAAATGGAGAAAGAGGCCAGCCTAACATCTGGATTTCTTATTTGAGATACATCTGAAGAATGGAAGAGACATCTGTCCCTGGATATTATCAGCAGAGGGACACATCTCATAACAAATTCTCAAAGGCATTGTCAAGGATGTATCTTCTTCAGCATCTCTTAACTCAAAAGCATGGTGTGCCCCGTGCCTGGGGTAGGCATGCAGGCACTGTAGTGAGGACTCAAGGAGTATAGTTGATTTTTCCTATTTTTCCTTGCTGGAAA